GCCTCAGCCTCCCGAGTGCTGGGATTACAGGCGTGCGCCACCATGCCCGGCCTCCAGCCCTTTTGATTGATTGGATACAGAGCCTAAGACACTGAACTGTCTAGGCGGGACTCTAGAATGTTCAGTCCTCCTGCCTCAGCCTCCTGAGTGCTGGGATTAAAGGCAAGCATCATTGCCCCAGGCTGGGAAGTCCCTCCTGAGGTCTGCCCCTCAGGCCTCCCTTCCTAAGGAAGTTCTTCCCTGAACTCTGGCCTTACCTGAAGGAAATCCCCCTAGAAACTGACCCAGAGCATTTAGTTCCTGCGGAAGTGCCCCCTTGGAGTTCGTCCCTGATGGTCTCCATCCAGAGTCTTGTTTTGCAGAGCCGGCAGAGGACCCGAAGCTCTGAGAAGCCAGTTGCACCGCCCCTTCCTGCCCCACAGAAGGCCTTCCAGCTTCCCCGGGAGCCCAAGACAGTCGCAGCCTCTGGACAGGTGCACCTGGTGGTGCTAGGGCCCGCCTCCCAGGACCCTGCAGCCGCGGCCACGGTGTGCCTGACCCCCTTACCCCTTCTGCCAGCCACAGCAGGGCTGCGGCCCAGAGTCCCTGCCCAGCACCGGTCTGCTGCCCAGCACCCGCAGTCTGGGCTGGGCGCGGTGCTTGGAGCCCTTCAGCGGCGTGTGCAGAGGCTGCAGCAGCGGCAGGAGAGGCACCAGGCACAGCTGCGGGATCTTGAACAGCTGGCACAGCAGCTGTGCAAGGAGAACCTGCAGGCGCGCCTGCACCGGGTCCCGCTGTGCATGGTGAGTGTGGCCCCGGGGCTTGGGACTGGCCAAGTCTGCACAGCATCTTCCTTTAAACAGGCCCCGTGTTTACAAATCCCACCGTTTCACCAGGTCTCTAAATTGCTCCTATTTCTGGGGAGGAAATGAATCTGGGGCTGGGGATGTGGCTTAGTGGTGCAGCTCTTGCTTACCATGCGCCAGGACCTGGGTTCCGTCTCAGGTACTGTAAAGAAAGAAAAAGAAGTCATTCTGGCAATGCCAAGCAACTGTTGGCCAGAACTAAGCTGCATAATAATATTTTGGAGCACTTTGTGCCAGACACATGGTTAATACTGGAAACTCACTTAATTTTTATACTGCCGTTATTCCCATTTTCTGGATGAAAAACAGGTTCAGAGCGGCCCAGTAACTTCCCCAAAGTCAAGCAGCCAGTAAACTGCAGAGCCAGACATCAAACCCAGGCGTTCTGTCCCACAGGAAGGGAGCTTCCTGCCTGGCCCCTGGAGAGCTTGAGTTTGCAGTCCCTCTTCTGATATCTCTCAGGCCCTATCTAAAGCTCTGTGGTCCTTACAGTTTACTGCCTGGGGGGCGGAGGGTGGGTGCGTGAAAATAAAAGATTAACAGAGCCTTCCCTACACTTAAAAAACCCAGGGTGGAGTCTGAGCAGGGCTCACCGGCATAGGTTCAGAAAGGTGTCCTCACACTATCTCTCTACGGAGGGGTCTCCAACTGACAGCCAGTGGATTGGCCGTGACTCACAGGTGGGATTTATTTGGCCTCAGCAGTGCTTTAAAGTAATTTCTGGTCTTTGCTGAAGGCTCAGTAGATCTAGCAGCGCTGGGTTTCTGTTCTCAGAGGGGTTAAGTCAGCTGGAGTTGCAGTGTAGCTGCTTCTGGAGACTCTGAGCCTGCGCTCTGGGTCTGTGAAGGACCGTGGGGCTAGGACAGGTCCAGCTCAGGCCCGGGATCTCTGTGGAGCCTGCCAGGGCTGTTGGGCTGTTGGTACCTCTATCCCCTGCCCCATTCAATCCCTGTCTCTTCTGAATTCCTCCCCTGCTCTTCCCATCTCCTCTCCTCTTCCACATTCGTCGTCTTTCTGCCCCCATCTACTGTCCCCGCGCCCTTGTCTCTGTATCTCTCTATCTCCGTCTTTCGGTGTCCTCTATGTCTGGGTCCCTGTCTCTCCATGTCTGCCCTCAATCTGTCCTCCTGTGCCTCTCCCCCTGCATCTCTCCCCCATTTCCCTATACTACTTCCGTCCTTTCCCATGAATGTCTCTGGCCTCCTATCTGCTTCTCTGTCTCCCTGTGTCTCTCCACCCACATGTTGCTATTTCTTGGAACCCCCTTCTCTGCCTGGCCTGTCTGATTCCCATCATTCCTTCCTGTCCCTCTGTCTCCTGCCCCCTTGGGTTTCCATCGCCACCGCATCACGCCTCGAACGGCCCAGCTGCCCAGACCTGAGGAATCCCAGACTTTCACCATCATCTGCGGAGGGTCTGACATCGCCGTGGTCCTTGCCCAGGGCCCTGCCTCTCCCACGCCGGATGTCAAACCTGAGCTCCTGGAAGCCCAGACACCCAGTACATAAAGACCAGGTGGACAGTGTCAAGGAACAGAAGACGAAGAAGAGAGGTCATCAGACTGGGGATTTGCCCAGCCTCACTGCCTGGGGGAGTGAGGTGCTACCCCCAAGGGCCTGGGTTCCACTCCCCACTCCCAGGGATCCCCTGAATTTCATGACTGACTTGGGCCCACATCCCCCATCAGCCCTCATTCCCCTGGATGCCTGGCCCCTGCCACCTACAGCTCAAATTTTTGCAGTGAGGTAAGCCTCCTCAGCAGAACAAGGGGCTTGTGTCTGGGGCGTGCTGTACCTGGTTCTGATGAGCCCAGGCACCCTGTGCCAGGTCTGCTGCTAAGTCAAGGACAGCAGTAAAACAGCAGCAGCCACCCCTCCCCTCGTGGTGCTCACGTCCTGTTTGAGTTAAAGGTGAACTAGAAAACCAATAAACGACATCACTTCAGACTGTGAAGACTGAATAAAAACATGATTGAGGGAAGAGGGGAGGCTCTCTACGCAGAAACATGGGAGGTGAGGAGCCGGCCTGGAGCAACACAGGCCAGTGCTCCAAGAACAGTGCTGTGGAAGCCCTACCATCCAGGACAGTGACGGCAAACCTTTTAGAGACAGAGTGCCCAAACTGCAACTCGAAACCCACATAGGTGTCCCAAAGTGCTAACTGTGGTTAAACCTGAATGCTTGGCTGCCAGGGTGATGCTGAAGCAACTTGGCTTGTGTGCCAACAGAGAGGGCTGCCATAGGTTCACGACCACAGATCTAGTGCATCGGAGCAAGGACGGTGGTGTTGCTCTAGAGAAAAATGGGGTAGGGTAGGGTGCAACTTTAGATATGGAGAACAGGGAAGCTGCCATTGAAAAGGGGAGAAAGGGAACCCTGCGGGTGTCTGGAGGAAGAACCTTCTGGGCAGAAGGAACAGCTAGTGCAAAGGCCCTGGGGTAAGGAAGAGCAAGGATGCCAGTATGGCCAGAATGAACAAAGGGAAAAGTCAGGAGAGGCGGCAGGGGCAGGTTCATGAAGGGTCTTGTGGGCCATGGCTGAGAGCGCTGGCTTTTCCCTGGAGTGCAGGGCAGCAGACATGCTTCTGGGTCCAGGAGGACCCTGGTGTGACAGGTGTTAACAGCCCCTGTGCTGCAGTGTTGGGAGCAGGTTCAGATAGAAGGCGGTGGGTGGGGACACAAGGAGAACAGAGAGGATGCTGCTGCCATAGCCCAGGTAGGAGAAGGTAAAGGATGAAGCAGAGCAAGGTGGTGCAAGCCTGTAATCCCAGCACTGTGGAAAGGCAGAAGCAAAAGGATTGCAAGTGTGAGTCATACCCGGTCAACTTAGTGAGTCCCTGTCTCAAAATTTTAAACAGGGCACTAGGAATGTAGCTTAGTGGTCACACCGTCCCTGAGTTTGATCCCCCTTCACCACCAAAAGATGAAGGGAGGGGGCCAGGGGTTGAAATTCTGGAACTATTTTGGAGACTGCCCATTAGAAGGGTAAGAAAAGGAAGGTGGTCACCCAGGCAGAGATCATTTGGGGCAGAGCAGGCAGCAGCCAGCCCAGGTGTGAGATCTGCCTTGCAGGCACTGCGAGAACAGCTTTGTGGCCTGGAGACTGACCCTGCTCCACAGACTGCTTGGTTTCATCACCTAATTGCTGTGCTCCGGTGAGCAAGCACCTGAACCTCTCCGGGCCTGAGTAAATGCTGGGTGAAAATGGTACGATGATGATTAGGACGGACAAAACGGAGATACATAAATCATGCCTGTAAGACCCCTCCTATAGGCAGAGCGTGCACGAGGAGCTGGGGCTGACGACCCGGAGAGGGGAGAACATCCACCACCACTGCACAGAGACCACTGCCATGACTGGCCTGGTCTGCAGGTCCAGGAGAAGGCTCTGTCACAGCAGGTGTCGGTAAAAAGACCTGAGGCAGCTGGGAGTAGTGACACATTCCTGTAGTCCCAGCACTGAGGCGGGCTGAGTCAGGAGAACTGCAAGTTCGAGTCCCCCCTGCGAAACTGATCGAGACCCCTATCTTGAAATAAAAAATTTAAAAAGGGCTGAGAGGTAGCTCGGTGTGTGAAGGCTGGGATCAGTCCCCAGTGCTGCAAAACCAAAATAAAACAAAACTGTGCCCGTTCTAGCACAGCCCTTTTTGCCCCGTCTCTGCTTCGTCTCTCCTCCGTCTCGTGCCTCACACCCTTCCCCGCGGCTGTGTCTTCCTCACCCCGTCCTGGGTACCTCCAGCGCCTTCAGCCGCCAGAGCTGCCTCCAGCATCTCCGCCCCCACGTCGCACCAAGGCGCATGCGCCGTCAGCGCCCCGCCCTCTCCACCCCCACCCCCCTTCGGCGTCTGGGCCTCGTCCCCTTCTTTCTGTCTCCCTTTCCTCCCCTGTCAGGTCCCCGACACCGACCCCCCATTACTCCCGAGGTCTCCTCATTCTCAGCCCGGGTCTCCAAGCCCGTCCAGCAGAGGTAAGATGGGAAGAGCCGAGGCCCCCCGAGAAGGGGAGGGGCAAAGCATCCTGCATCCCGAGATAAACAAACCCCGGGAGGGGGCGGCGAGCACCGAGGGGCCTGGCGGGGGAGAAGAATGGGGGGCTGGGCCTGGGGAATATGGCAAGCGCCAGCTGCCTATCAGGGTCCCTCTGACGGGTAACTGGGGGCCCTATGGTTGCCCAAGATCCACAGCTGGGAAGGCGGGGGACACTCGCGGCCCGGGGATCGTGTAGGGGCGCCGACCCAGAGGCTATGGGGCGCCCTCTTTAGTAGACCTCTGTCTCCAGGGTTTGCCTGCCAGGTCATCCCCAACTCTGCACCCTCCCACCCACAAGGGCCACCGAAGACCATGACTAAGACAGATCCTGCCCCGATGGCCCCTCCACCCCGGGGGGAGGAGGAAGAAGAGGAGGAAGAGGATGAACCTGTCCCAGAAGCCCCCAGCCCCACCCAGGAGCGGCGACAGAAGCCTGTTGTGCACCCCTCTGCACCTGCCCCTCTCCCTAAGGACTACGGTAACCACTGTTCCCACCCTGAAATCTGGCCTGGAGACTTGGGTGGCCACGGAGGGTGGGCTGAGCTCTCGTGGTGGTAATGGTAGGGGGATTCAGAAGGCAGTCCCGAGGAGTCTTGGCTGTAGAACCTTTCGTTAATTTCATTCACTTATTAGAGAATAGAATTGGAATAATTCTAATCTTTGATTCATGATACATCATTCAGTCATTTAGTCATTCAACAAACATTTCTTGGAAGCTGCAATGGACCTGGCTTTATAGTAGGCGCAGGGGCCTTAGCAGCAGAGCAATACAGGTGCAGTCTTTGAGAGAACTCACAGGGCTAAATAACAACCATACCAATAAGTATGAAAAACATTAATATATAATTCTAAGGTATGACAAGAATTGTGTTTATTAAGAACAGGATTTTTCAAGAGCTCTTCAAGACATGATTTTCCTTAGAAGGTAATGTTGCGGGGAGATCTGAGGGCAAATTGGGCTTCATTAAGGGAGGAGTCAGGAAAAGGGCGTCCCAGGAGAGGTGACTACAGGAGTAAGGGATTTGAGGCAGGAGCTGAGGGCCGTCTCTTGGAGGAACCGGAAGTGTCTAAACATTTATCAAGCAATTTTATCGAGTGAGTGCTGTTGTCCTGTGCCAAGCCCTGTGCTCAGTGATGGGGAGTTAATGAGGGGCCGTCCAGGCACTGCCCCATTCACAAGAGAGGAGAGACTGAAGAAGTGCACAGACGAATAAATCAGATGAGTTCAGATTGGAGTGAGTGCTGTGAAAACAGAAAGGGCAGAGGTACAACAATAATGGCTGTGGGGCCTCCTGCTTGAAAAAAAATAGGTGGGTCTTCTTGATAAGACGGCATTTAGGTTGAGACACAAAACATGAAGAGGAATTAGCTGGAGAAAAAGCATTCTAGACAGAAAAATAACAAGTGCAAAGGACCTGAGGCAGAACTGAGCTTGGAACAGAAAAACCATGGAGCTACTTTTAGGGACTGACCAGAGTTGGGGTGGGAATTGGCCCACCTCAACATAAAGATCACACTGAGGATTTTCAGTATATTCTAAGTCCGATGGGGAAAATTGTGTGTGTGTGTGTGTGTGTGTGCGCGCGTGCGCGCGCGCACACACACGCACGCATACACGCACATGCACATACATGACGGCAGGATGCTCAGAGCAGAAGACCACCAGTCTGGAAATCTTCCTCTGGCTTCTGGGTAGAGAGAGATAGATATGGGGAGGTTTTAGAAGGTGTTAGCTAGGAATCCCCAGCAGCTGTAAGGTTTAGAAGTGCACTAGATTCCATTGGCATCACCAGGAAGGAGCAGAGACATGGTGTTGGTGGGTGTGTCACTTAGTAGAGGTGGATCAGAGAAATAAGTTCATTTCAATCGGATAGAAAAATAAGAAAATTATTTAGGGTGTCAGTGTGTGTGTGTGTGTGTGTGTGTGTGTCTGTCTGTCTGTCTGTCTGTCTGTGTGTCCATCCCAGGAAACTGGAAAAGCCTCTTTGGAACTGTGGCTGGGGCCTGTGGCACAGTGGGAAGTCAGTGTCTGTCCGGCGATGGTCACAGAATTCAGAGGAATCTGGAAATGTGGTCTAGGCCAGAGAGAAGGCTAGGGGGCTCCAGAAGGAAATTGTGTGCGCTTGTTGAATTTGCACATTAATTCAGCAGAGACTGACTAAGCACTTACTGCCTGGGGCTGCTGGGCCCACCCTGCTGCAGGGATAAGGGGGTGACCAAGGCAGAACAGAAAGTACTTGCACCTCAGTGAGGGTGATAGGTGAGAAGAAAAAGAAAAGAGGGAGCGGGAGGAGGAGAAAGGAAGAGAAAGGTGGAAACAAATTGCCTACAGCAGTGATACGTGTTTTGATGAGAAAATTAAAACAGGTAGGACGGGGAAGGGCAGGGCCGTTGGTTGCCACGGGGTGGCCTGGGGAGGCCTGGTCTGAGGAGGTGGCATTTGAGCCACGGTCTGCAAATCCCTGTGAAGATCGGATGGAAAAACGTCCAGGTGGGGAAACGGCAAGTGCAGTGAGACGGGACTTTGCCTGGCACGTGGGAGGGGGCCAGTGTCTATGGAGGGGAGGAGGGAAAGGGGGCGCACAGAAGAGTGCGGGGCTAGATTACGCAGGGCAGGGCCTCGTGTGCCATGATGAGGACTCTGGTCTGTTCTGAGCAGGACAGGAGCCAGGCGAGGGCTCTGAGCCAAGGAGGTCTGTGACGTGAATGGACTTTGAAAAGGAGCATGCAGGCTCGTTCCAGAGACACCTTCTGTGTGGCGCTTCCCTGGGCTATATATAATCTAGTCATTCGTTTACTCATTCCGCACACGCTGAGTTCCTGCCACTCGGGTGCTGGGTGCTGACGTTGCCACAGGGAGCAACACTCGTCAGAGTCTAATGGGGGAAAGGGGTAGAAGTGCCTCTGGCACCACCCTGGCTGTCCCAGGTTGGGTCCTGCTCCTTGATGAGTACATTGTATCTGCACTGTATAATATTTGAAAAGAAAACCTGAGGCTTTATTTATTGCAGTATGGGGCCTGAACCGAGGGTCTTTTGCGCTGAGCTACATCCCCAGTTGTCTGCCCCTCTCCCTTTTAAATTTTTTTTGTCTGTTATTTATTTATTTATTTTTTGGTTTTGTTTTTTTCCCAGTACCTGGAATCGGAACTCACGACCTTGCACTTGCCAGGCAGGCGCTCTGCCGCTGAGCTAAATCCCCAGCCCCCTTTTTTTTTTGTCTTTTAGAGACAGGGTCTCGCTATGCAGTTCAGGCTGGCCTTGAGCTCACTTTGTAGCTCAGACTGGTCTCGAACTCGCAACGATCCTCCCGCCTCAGCCTCCCGAGTGCTTACAGGTGTGCGCCACCATGCCCGGCTCCCTTTAAATTTTTGAGACAGCATCTTGCTTAGTTGCCTGGGCTGGGCTGGAATTTGAGATCCTCCTGCCTCAGTCTCCCAGAGTGCTGGGATTACAGATACCACACCCAGTTTAGAGTTTTCTTAAAGAGCCAGACTTCTGGCTCCTCTCCCGCTCCCCTGGAAATCGGGCCAAACTGTGCATACTCTGACGGGGAAGCAGAGCCAGCACAGCAACAGCAGCACCCTGGGGCATGCGGACTGGAAGAGGCTGGGCTGTGTATCGCACTCTTGTTTCAAGGGTAGTTTGTTGCTCTATGCAAATTGCCTTGTCTTTTTTTTCTTCTTTCTTTTCTTTTCTTTCTCTTCTTTCCTTCTTTTTCTTTTCTTTTCTTTTTTTTTTTTTTGAGACAGAGACTCTATGTAGTCCAGGCTGGCCTTAAACTCATTATGTTGCTCAGGCTATCCTCAAACTCATGATGATCCTCCTGCCTCAGCCTCCTAAGTGCTGGGATTACAGGAATGTGCCACCATGCCCAGCCTCTTTCCATTTTTCAAGACACACTGGTTATCCAGATTTTTATGTGATTTTTGAGACCTGTGCTGGCCACACAGAAAACACCTGTGGGTTGACTATGGCCCCTGTGCCACTAGTTTGAGACCCTGCCTTAAAGGCTGTTAAAGGCAAAGATCTTGAGTTCCCCTGGCTCAGAATGGAAGGGAGGGCGGGCGGTTAGCCGGCCTGGGTGACCTTGGACCTCTCCCCACCTCAGCCTTCACCTTCTTCGATCCCAATGATCCTGCGTGCCAGGAGATTCTGTTTGACCCCCAGACCACCATCCCGGAGCTCTTCGCCATCGTGCGCCAGTGGGTGCCCCAAGTCCAGCACAAGATAGATGTCATCGGCAATGAGGTAGGAGCTGCGGAGACCGGAGAGGGAGGGATGTGGTCCACCGCATGTTTGGGTAACCCTCCGCTGTCCCGATACTCCCAGATTCTGCGCAGAGGCTGCCATGTGAACGATCGAGATGGGCTGACTGACATGACACTACTCCATTATGCGTGCAAGGCCGGTGCCCACGGAGTCGGTGAGGGCCCAGGTCCCAAACCAAGCCCCCAGTCCTCGCACCCTCAAAACCACCCGGAAGCCGGGCACTCCAGGAGAGTAACGCAGGAACATCCTAAGTTCGAGCCCAGCCTGGGCAACTTACTAAGACAGTCTCAAAAGGAAAACAGTGTGAAGGCCCTGGGTTCAATTCGCAGTACTGGAAAGAACAAAATAAACCCCAATCACTCAGAATTCAGTCCCTAAGCCTCCCACCTGGAGCCCAGAAGATAAGATCCCAAAGTGTAGTTAGTTGGTGAGACCCTCAGGCCTTCTCCAGGGACAGGATGCGGGCTCAGGAGGAGGCCAGGCTGACCTGAGCTGTCCTGCAGGCGACCCCGCGGCGGCTGTGCGTCTCTCGCAGCAGCTGCTGGCGCTGGGCGCCGATGTGACCCTGCGCAGCCGCTGGACCAACATGAACGCGCTTCACTACGCGGCCTATTTCGACGTGCCCGACCTTGTGCGCGTGCTGCTAAAGGGCGCGCGGCCCCGAGGTGAGGAGAAGGGTTCTGGAGGGAAGGAAGAGGACCCGGGTGAAAGGGTGGGGCGTGGAGTGGACCGAGGCAGCCCGAGAGAGGAGACTGGGAAAGGAAGGAGGCTCGTAGGGCCACTGCTGCTGGGGAGGGGCGTGGCCGAAGGTGACGTCTGGGCCCTGAGCTGGGGGCGGGACTACAGGGCGGAGGCTTAGGGAGGGAGCCCTCTTTAGAGCTGGGGGAGAATATGAGAATGCACACTCCTGTAATCCTAACACCCTGGGGTGCTGTGGCAGGAGACCCGCAAGTTGAGTCTAGCCTGGGCAATTGAGTGACTTAGCGAGACCCTAGAAATCAAAAACGGCTGGGGATGTAGCTGAGTGCAAAGGCCGCGCGGGTGCAGTCCCTGTTACTGCGGGAGCAGGTGGGGTGGCAGGAAGAACTGTGTTATTTCCGCCTGGGTTCACCTGGAGCTCTGCTCTTGCCTGCTTCCCAGTGGTGAACTCCACCTGCAGTGACTTCAACCACGGCTCAGCCCTGCACATCGCTGCCTCCAACCTGTGCCTGGGAGCGGCCAAATGTCTGCTAGAACACGGTGCCAACCCTGCGCTGAGGGTACTGTGCCGCTGGGCCAACTGGTTCTCTTCCTCCTCCTCCTCTCCTTGTTTCTCTCCCTGTATCGTTCCACCTCCCTCCAACAGGTCTCTGCATAGGACAAGCACCACGTGGCATTTCTTACTGCTAAAATACTAGCAAAAGCATCTTCACATTTTAAAGAAGAAATAATAAGTGTTACTTAGTGTTCATTATATGTCAGGTGAAGTCTGTTGTAACCCCTGTTGTACAACAGAGAAACTGAGGCAGAAAGATGAAAGGATTTGCCTAGGGTCTTTCAGCAAGGAATGTCTTTTCTCTCAACCCTGGCCTATCCCATGGCTGGGTACCAACAGCATTTTGCAATCATGGGGAAAGTGCTGTAGAGTTGGGCCCTGTGTGAATGAGTCAGGTCCCTCATAAGCCCTCGGTATATCTTGACCCCCGACCTTTCCATTCCCGGGGCCCGTCCTCAATGCTAATTACTCTGCAGCATCCCTAGTGCTGTGATCTGGGGAGCACATGGCCTGTGCCCCTGAGACTCTGCCCTGTCCTCATTCCCTGCTGGCTCAGAGTTTGACCTTTGACCCTGTAGCTTAGCACAGGAGCCCACTCAGTGTCACCCCCCTCCCCACTACAGGCCCATTATACGTTTGGGATCTCAAGAGGCAAAACCTACCCGAGGGCATGACGTACACATCAGCCTCATCCCCTGTTGATTCTACTTGACCCTATCCTCAATTACTGGACACGGTCCCAGCCCTGGTCACAGGAGTGGACTTCGCTGGGGTCTGCACCTTAATGCTCCACCTCTTATTCCCATGTTGGCCCATATGACCTGGTCCTATCCCTGCTCACCCAGGTCGGTGTCCTCCATGGAGGTGTTGCCACTGAGTCCCTGCCTCTCTCTTCCTCTTGGTCCACAGAATCGAAAGGGACAGGTGCCCGCTGAGGTGGTCCCAGACCCTATGGACATGTCCTTGGACAAAGCAGAAGCGGCGCTGGTGGCTAAGGAGCTGCGAACGCTGCTGGAGGAGGCTGTGCCGCTGTCTTGCGCCCTCCCCAAGGTCACGCTACCCAACTATGACAACGTCCCAGGCAATCTCATGCTCAGTGCACTGGGCCTGCGCCTAGGAGACCGTGTGCTGCTGGATGGCCAGAAGGTCAGGGGTTGGGGTGCGGCAGGGGTGGGACTCAGCCCCCTCGTCCTTCATACACACCGTCTCCTTTGTCTGCCCACCCTCGCGCAGTCATTCACACAGTACTTTATCTCATGTAACAATTGTTCTGTGAGTTCTGCCTTGGTGCCCCACCCTGTGATGAGCTTTTGGTTGAGAGGGGGAGACAGATTCATCCTCTGACAGTGACAGCTCAGAGCAGTCGTGGCTGAAACATAAGCAGAGTTCTCAGCTCAGCTCTGTGTACCCACAGTTCCCCAGCACCCTGTGGTCCCCAGTCAGGCCTGTCTCCACTCTCAGAATAGTCAGGACTTCGACCAGGACAGTAAAGGTCAGAGTGCTGGAGGCAGGAGTGGTTTTAGCTGGGGTGCTCTAAGAAGCCTTCTCTGAAGTGATTCCCAAACAGACAGGAATGTGCTCACCTTGCAGAGATACGGAAGCGACAAGTTCCAAGACCCAGCAGTGGGAAGGGGCAGTGTGACTGGAGTTGCGGGGTTTTTTTGGTCGGGTTGTGGAGAGGTCAGAGGGACTGGATCACGGCAGCCCTGCAGGCCATTGGAAGGAATTTGGATTTTGTTTCTTATACAGTGAGAAACTTCAAGTCACATTTTGTTTCCTAATCCAGAATTCTGCATGTGTAAGCCCCAATGCAGAAAAGCTTTTGTGCATAATCTAATCAAATCCACTGGATGATTCTGAAAGAGAGATGGTTGACTGCTCCCATTTTACACCCCAGAAGACTTACAAGAACCTCTGAGAAGTTCTGAGAAGGACGCCCTTTGTCCAAAGACACGTAATAGCTATCCCTGCCCCTTAGAGAAGCAGCACAGCTGTGTTTTCACACTTAGGGTCTGCGACTGGTCCAGGTCCATCTCAGCCTTGCTGCTTATCATCCAGTTATCCCAGCTCTCTGGGCAACAGTTTCTTCACCTGTAAATGGAAACGATGGTACTACCCATCTCATGTGGAGGCGGTGGGGCAAGCCTGAAATTAATTAAAATAAGGCCCTTAGAACAGAGCCTAATTAAAAAGCAAACAAACAAAAAACAGAGCCTGGTGTACACATAAGTGTCCCTGTGTGCCAGGCCCTGCTCCAGTTCCCACCAAACCCTCCTAAGTCAACACTGTTAATAGCTTATTTAATTTTTTTTTTTTTTTTTTTTTTACCCTGGTGGGGATCAAACCCAGGGTCTCATGCATGCTAGACAAGACTGTATCACTGAGCTATACCTCAGCCCCAGTGAGCTCATTTTACAGACAAAGAACTTGGGTAGAGCATGTGCTTAGCATGCATGAGGTCTGGGTTCACTCAGTGAACCTTGAATTGGCCTTGATCTTACAATCGTCCTGCCTTAGCCTCCAAGTGATGAGACTACCAGCATGCACTATGTTGCTTGGCTTCCAGTAGACCTTTCTGTGGTGGTGGAAATGTTAAGGGTCTGGTCTGTGTGCTCCAAGAAAATAGCCATGAGGCACATGTAGCTATTGAGTACTTGAAATCTGGCTAGTCTAAGACAGGTGTGGTGGCACATACCTGTAATGACAGCACTGGGGAAGCTGAGGCAGGAGGATCACTGTGAATTTAAGGCCAGCCTGGGGTACACAGTGAGTTCAAGGCCAGCCTGGACTACTTAAGGAAATCCTGTCTCACAAACAAAAAGTCCAAAACAATAAAATAAAGAAATTGGGCTACTGTGACTGAGGAAATGAATTTTTGATTTAGTGGAAATTCAGATTGTTATAATTGGGAAATGACAACTTACCATATTGGTCAGGGCAGGACTGTAACAGTCCTAGAAGATGGGTGTGTCTCCTGTTCCCACTTTGCAGATAAAGTAACTGAGGCACAGAGAGGTTAAGTCACAGCTAGTAAAGGATGATGGAGCTGAGATTTGAGCCCAGGTTCCCGTATCCACCCCACCATGCTGCCTGTATTCTAGTGTCAAACATGGCCCTCCAAGGTCTTTGTCCAAGCTTCGTCCTCTCTTGTCTTTCCAGACAGGCACACTGCGGTTCTGTGGAACCACGGAATTTGCCAGCGGCCAGTGGGTGGGCGTAGAGCTGGACGAACCTGAGGGCAAGAACGATGGCAGTGTCGGAGGTGTCCGGTACTTCATCTGCCCTCCCAAGCAGGGTCAGTCCCACCTGTGGCCCAGGAGGGTGGGGATGCTGATGTCTGGGGAACAGGGCCAAGGGATGAGGGGGCAGCCAAGGGCGGAAGCCTGGACGATGCCAAGCCCAGGCTCTGTCCCCTCAGGTCTGTTTGCCTCCGTGTCCAAGATCTCCAAGGCAGTGGATGCACCCCCCTCTTCTGTCACCTCCACACCCCGCACTCCCCGGATGGACTTCTCCCGAGTCACTGGCAAAGGCCGAAGGGAACACAAAGGTCAGAGGGGGATCACTGGTTGAGGGGAAGCATGTGTCGTGGGGACACTATTTAGGTAGCTTAGCTTTTGTGACTCAGTTTCTCCTCAGGCCCAAACTCCAGTTCTAGTGGACAAACCCTGAGTTCCTGACGCCTGACTCAGTTTATCCTTTGACTCAGTACCGGCCTCACCCCATTCTTGGAAGGAGGGACCTGTGGGTTCCTGGTCTACTGTGATGTAGTTTCTTCTCAGGCCCAGAGGTCTTCCCTGATTTTAGCAAAGAATCTGTTTCTGGGGGTTCTGTTTCAGGGGTTCTTTGCTTTTTGTGACTTGATCTATGCTAAGGCCTAACTCTCCCTTAGTTTACTGACTTATTTTTGAGATGGAGATCCTGCTGTGTTGTCTATACCATTCTCAAACTTCTGAGTTTAAACGATGCTCCTACCGCAGCTTCCCACCTGCTGGAACTACAGGCAAATGCCACCTTTCCAGCACCCCTTCATTTAACTTATTTTGTGGTACTCAGGATCCCATCCAGGACTTTGCACACTGTCTTAGTTACTTTTTTCTCATGGCTGGGACAAGATATTTGACCCAAAATTAAGGAAGGAAAGGTTTATTTAGCTCACAATTTGTGGAGGTTTCCGTCCACACTCAGCTGGCTCCAAGGCAGGGTGGTGTGGCTGAGAGGCAGCCATTCATGGTAGAGGAAGACAGCAAAAGCAACAAGAGCAAACGGGAAGGAACAAGCCTCTTTTCCTCCCTTATATTGCATGGAGGCTACCTACCCAGTACAGCACTCACACTCCCAATCCCAGCACCAGATAAGGGACCAATCACAAACTCTACATTCAGCCACCTCCAAAAAGCCCACCCCACCATGACTACATGAGGCTTTGGGAGGACATTCAGATACAAACCATAACACACATGCTAGACAGGCACTGAGCCACACCCCCAGCCCTTCCTCTTCATTTTAGTTTTTTGTTTGTATTTTTTTGAGACAGGGTCTTATTATGTAGTCAAGGCTGGCCTTGAATTCCCTATGTAGCTCAGGCTGGTCTCAAACTCATGGCGATCCTCCCACCTCAGCCTCTCGAGTCCTGGGATTACAGGTGTGTATCACCATGCCTGGCTATCCTCTTTATTTTGTTTTTGTTTTTGTTTTTTTGAGACAGGGTCTTGCTATGCAGTTCAGCCTGGCCTTGAGCTCACTTTGTAGCCCAGTCTGGTCTCAAACTCGCAACGATCCTCCTGCCTCAGCCTCCTGAGTGCTGGGATTACAGGTGTGCACCACCACACCTGGCTATCCTCTTCATTTTATTTTATTTATTTATTTAGTTAGTTTTGGTATCGGGAATCAAACTCAGGACCTTGTGCTTGCCAGGCAGGCACATATGCCACTGAGCTATATCCCCGGCTCTATCCTCTTCATTTCTTTCTTTTTTTTTTTTTTTAAATCCTCTTCATTTTAAAAGGAGAATTTCTGGGTTCCTGAATTCTGCCTCAAGTTTTTCCTTTAGCTTTGAAAGAGATTTTGGGATTTTTCAAGTTCTATGACTCAGTTTCTGCTTACTCCTATAATTTCCCTTTCTAGTTCTGTATCATCTGGGATTCATTTTCCCTTCAAACACAACCCCCACCCCCAGCTCCAGCTCTGGGGAAGGCTTTGGAGTTCCTCTGATTGGAGCCAGGACAGTATTACTACACTGAGGTCCTCTATGTGGCATGAATCCCCAAAGTTGGCATCTGGGGTCTGACCCCCTCACCTTCTGTCACCAGGCAAGAAGAAGTCCCCATCATCACCGTCTCTGGGCAGCCTGCAGCAGCGTGAAGGGGCCAAGGCAGAAGTTGGAGACCAAGTCCTTGTGGCTGGCCAGAAGCAGGGGATTGTGCGCTTTTATGGGAAGACAGACTTTGCTCCTGGTAAGGCTGGGGACTCTGCGCTGGTGGGCAGACAGGGCCTCGAGGCATCCTGACACCTTCTTGCTGCAGGTTACTGGTATGGCATTGAGCTGGACCAGCCTACAGGCAAGCATGATGGCTCTGTCTTTGGTGTCCGATACTTCACCTGCCCCCCACGGCATGGGGTCTTTGCGCCGGCATCCCGCATTCAGAGGTGAGCCCAAACTCTGACCCTCAAACCAGGAAGCCCTCCAGAGCTCCCATCTACCCTCAGTCCCCTTCCTTTATCCAGCAAGACTGTGTGGTTACCCCTATCCTACCCTAGTTCTTTCCTCTAGACCCACTAGGGCTCAGCACTCAGCCAGACCTGGGCTCTTGTGGCCCTGACATTTCCCATTCCTATGTCTCTTCAGGATTGGTGGATCTACTGATCCCCCTGGGGACAGTGTTGGAGCCAAAAAAGTGCATCAAGTGACAAGTGAGTTGGGGGCTTGGATGTGGGGACGAGTATAGGTCTGGGCATAAGGGGAGAGGTCATGGGTTCTCAGGTATATGTTGGTGACAGTCTCTGATACTTAGTTGGGGACACAAGATCTACGAAAATGATGAGGCAGGGTCCCAAAGAGGACAGGTGCTATTTGACATGGGAAAGTTAAGAAGACTTTGAGAGCTGGGGGTGTAACCCTGTGGGAGAGCATTTGCCTAGCATCTGTGAGGCCCTCGATTCCATCTCCAGCACAACAGGGGGGAAACAAATGGAAGAGAAAACAGGCTCTGAGCAGGCATTAGGATCTGAGGACCCAGGCAGGCATTGGGGGACATGGTGGATAATGTTGATGAGATGTCTAGATGGGCATCGGGAATATGGGATGTGGGGAGCATGGATAGATATTAATGACAAGGAGTCTGGATGGGTATTAAGGAGACAGGTGGGTCTGCTATCCCCTCACCTGCTATCCTGTTCCCTCCAGTGACACAACCTAAACGCACCTTCACCACAGTCCGGACCCCAAAGGACATTGCATCAGAGAACTCTATCTCCAGGTGTGTGGTTAATGCCTTTCCCCTTCTCCTGCAGAATGTTTAGGGAGCAGCATCTACAAAGCTGTTGGATGGGGGGTTTGGAGCTCAAGTGGGGGCTGGAAGTAGAAGCTAGGAAAAGTTGTGACCAGTAAGTACATCTGGAAGCAGTCTTTAGGGTAAAAGACCTGATGTGACTTCTTCTGACTTCAACTTTTAGGGAGCAGGTAAAAGAAACAGAATGTCTCTGTTCTTTAAAGCCTAAGAGAGCAGTCAGAGGCAGAATGCCAACTATGGAGCGACAGTTGAGGAGAGGGTGATGGAGCCAGATGTTCCTACACACTCATCACTGTGTGATCTGGTTCTCATTTCAGGTTGCTCTTCTGCTGCTGGTTTCCCTGGATGCTGAGGGCAGAAATGCAGTCTTAAAGGCCCTGGACACCAGACAGAGACACAAGAGTCCCCTCTAGCATCTCCTGACACAAGGAGCTCCCAGTCACCCGAGATAGAGATTCCCAGTAACACTTCCATAATAGAGACCCCCATTAGCCAGCCCTCGATCACTGAGGTCCCATTATTAACAGATCCCCATGATAACCCCAAGTACAGACTTCATGTCACCCAGAAAGAAATTCCCTGAGTAGCACCTTCAGGTTAGTCCTTGTCCCCAGCCCCTCAGAGCAGACCCCCAATTAACAGACTTCCACTCACCCCAAATGATGGTGATCCTCTCCACACAATGCTATACAACAGGACATTCTTGAGTCACTCATCAGTGGGGATCATAACCCTACCATTAACAAAGACCCCTTTCCCTCATTCCCCTTGAAATAAACATAGATACCAGCTCCGGAGTAGCAGACCATGTCACTATCTCTGTATAACTTCAGTGCTCTCAAGATGTGACCTCATGGTCACCGCAAAGCCCTTACTCTCCAGAACCCCATCAGAGACTCCCTCCATTAACAAAGACATTGTTCTTACTGCTCAAGAAGAGACCCACCTTAATCAGCCCACTGTCACCCCCAATTTAGACACCAAAATAGTCCTGGAAGTGCTAATTACAGGACCCCCAACTCTTCCTACCCTCTGCACCCTCAAGAAACCCCCAGTGCCTTGTAAAAGCTCACCCCACATGGCCCACAGACCCTGTGCTGGCCAGACTCCCAGAAAATTCTCTATTTTTTAAAGTAATGACTTCCCCTTTGGGGGACCCCAAATTTGGAGACCCCGTTCTGGGACTCTGGGGATCCCACGCCCCAGAGTATATATGTCCCCAACTCCCCTGTGCCCTCAAGCCCAACAGCCCCTAGAAGACTCCAAAATTTGAACTGCCAGGACCTCCAAATCATAGAATCCCCAAATCCCCAGGGAATCCCAAATTTAAAAATCCCCGACCCCCAGGAAACCCCAATCAAGAGGTCCCTGTGCTTGGGATAGAGGAGACTGCAGTCAGGATGTGAATTCCAGGCTCCCAGAGAACCTCAAGCCCTTTCACAGGTGCCTGGAGACCCCAAGCAGGAATCCCCCTTCCTGGAAATCCGAGGACTTCAGTGCCCACTTAATGGACCTCAAGAAACCCAAATCCCAAGAGCCCCTGCCCCAAGGGAACCCCAAATCTTAAAGCTTCCATCTCTAATACATGGAGGGTCCCCGAGGCCCTGAGGGAACCCCAAGTCTTAGAGCACCCATTTCAATCTACGTTTTGGTCACAGGTCTAAGACACTAAATCTGAGTCACTGGCTCCTCACAGCACTTGGGCCAGATCAACAGCCTGAGGGAGAACCTGAGGGCCGCGCGGGTCCAGGGCAGACCTGGGGCCCCGACCACCAAGGACAGCTCACGACTGCCCCTTCACTGCATGTCCCCAAATTCCGCATGATCCTGTCCTCTTAAATAAAGACGTATGGCCTCTTTGTGTCAAGCAAGTCATTGTTCGGGGATTACGGGGGGCGGGGGAGTCCTGCCTCTGTACCCTTGCTGGGGTAGGATGAAAAGGAAGACCTTTTTTCAGTTTCGCCTCCCGGCGACATGGGCACTGGGCGACCTAGTTTGCGCGAAGTCTATCCAACAGGCTCTGTTTCCTTCTTGCTACGGTCACCTCTGGCTCACGCCTCAGTGTGGACAGTTTCGGTTCTGGTGTCCCGATTGGTCTGTGAAAGTAAGACCCGCCTCCACTAAATCCCCAATGGCTCAGAGGCCAGGGATTTCCCCCTATCCTTGATCAAAGCTAAGGGGGCGGGCAAATACTGAATGAGAGCACCGATTGGCTGGAGAGCGGAGCATTACAACCTCTGAGAGTTTCCATTGGCTGGAGGATTCTTGCCTCAATCAAGTGAGGGCGGAAGTAGATTGGGAGTATTGAAATCTGGAAATTGGAGGAGATACCGGTGGACGGTCAGTTTTGGGGGTGACAGGGGCAGAGATGAGGGTCCAAGAGGGCTGGGAGTAGGGATCCTGAGAAGCGCAGTGGGAGTCCTAGGGGGCTCAAAGTGGAACCCTAAAAGATTCAGAATCGACATCTGAGGGGTTCAGGGAGCTAAGAAGGAGTCAAGCTCAGGTCCTTTTGAAGGGGTCCAGAGTGAGAGGTTCCGAGGAGGCTGAGCGTGGACATGTCTGAGGAGAAGCCGCGGACTAGGGGCACGCGGATGCTCAGAATGGGATCTCTGAAAGGGCCGAGGCCAGAGGAGGGATGGTGAGGTTCTGAGTGTTGGAGAGCCACGCTCATGGTTGCAGGCCTGACGTGGGATATCAGGTATTTGATGGGGCTTTGGGGTGCAGTCTTCAGAGCTTTTAAAAAGGCTCCCTGTGTGGGGTCTCCCTCTGTGAGACTTCACAGGGCAACCACGTAGTCTGATGGCACGCGGTGGACAGAGACTTGGAGTGTGTTGGGTGCTCATCGTGGGTGGACAGGGCGCCTGGGGGGATCATTATGTGGCTTTGAGAGGGTTTTAGAGACAGAGTTTCACAGGAGGGCTGAGGCCTGATCAAGTGGAAGGCTGGATCAGGCCCAGAGGGCGAGAGGCTTAATGACTTCATTATATCCTCCTCTCCCCACAGGACTGGTTGCAAGGAGTTGCTGTCAATGGAGGAGCAGGATGCCAGGGTCCCGGCCCTGGAACCATTTAGGGTGGACCAGGTTGTCAGGACTGGGGATGCAGAGGGTGAATGTGGGGGCTAGAGAGAGAGGTGGGGTGGGATGGGCAGCTGACTCCTAGGTCCATAGGTTGGAACTGCCCCTCCCTGCAAATTCATTTTTACCCTCAGAGTCCAGCCCCACTCTCAAGCCCACCCTGGAATGGGCATGGGTCCCTTGACTTCAGACCCTGTCCCACCTGAGAATATCCTTAGCCTCTCCCCAGAGGGAGGGGTTGCTCAATGATGGTATGTCCCCTCTGTGGGTCAAAGGCCCATATCTTCAGAGGTGTCTCTCCATTGCAGGCACCACCTGTAATCTACTATGTCCCTGACTTCATCTCCAAAGAAGAGGAGGAATATTTGCTTCGACAGGTGACCCCAGTGCCTTCTACCTTGCTTTCTCCTCTTCCCGTATCTCCTCCAACCCCCAGCCTCTATATGAGAGCCCTTGAGGCTGCAAGTGAAGACCTGTCAGAGAAGAGGACGTGACATAGCACCCACCCTCCTCTCTCCCTGTTCCTCTCTCAGGAACCGCTAGGGCCTGTCAGAAAGGGCTTTTTCTAAGGGGTCTAGGAAAAACCAAACTTATTCTTAGGAAGGAGGTGCTTATTATGAAATTCAGATTCCCTGTACTGAGGGAGCCCAGTCCAGCCTCTAAAGCAAGGGTGTTACTACATCAGATTTCTTGTGCAGAATAGTCCTGTGCTTGGGAATGAAGAAGTTACAGAACACATACTCCCTGTACTGAGATAGCCCCCAACCCCAACAAATGCTCTACCAAGGACCCAATCCTACTATCATTTTTTTTCTTCCCAGTACTGCTTATTTATTGAACCCAGAAAGCATCAAGTTATATCCCAAGTCCTTTTTTTTTTTTTCTTTTTAAACTGTGAATAGGATTTCACTAAATTTGTGCAGGCTGGCCTCAAACTTGCATTCCTCCTGCTCAGCCTTTGGAGTAGCTGGGATTTCAGGCATGCATCATCATGCCTTGCTCCAATCCTGCTTTTATCTGTCTGTCTGTCTATCTATCTATCTGGTAAGACAGGGTTTCGATAAATTGCCTAAGCAGAGCTCAAACTCCCACTACTCCTGCCTCAGCCTCCCAGTGTTGGGATTACAGGCATGTGCCACCACACCTGGGAAAAATCCTGTCTTAAAGCAAGTTATAATAGGCTGAAATACCCCAGAAATGAATGTTATAGAGTAAACTCTTCCTTATACTATGAACCCCACTTGAGCTTGAATCCTTGGAACAAGTTAGCTGTAGAATGTAGGCTGTTGGGCTGAGATAGCCCATACCAGACCTCTAGGTTTTTTGGATTGATTTTTTTTTTTCTTCTTGAGACAGGGTCTTGCTGTGAAATTTAGACTGGTCTTAAACTCATTATGTAGCTCAGGCCGGGCTCCAACTCATGGCGATCCTCCTGCCTCAGCCTCCCAAGTGCTGAGATAATAGGTGTGTGCCACCACACCCAGCTTGGTTGAAAATTTTACATATTTTAGAATCCCTAGACTCATATATCCCAGGCCATTCCCGTAACCATACCGAGGATGAGATTATCAACTAGAGTATAGACTTCTTAGACTAAGATAGCTCATTCTAGAAACTTTGGATCTTGGCAGTGGAGGATTTTCAAAATATTTTCTTTGCTGTACTGATAGGTAACCTTAGCATGCTGTCTTCCCTGGGCAATAGAAACAAGCAAGTTCCAGAACTCAGGCTGTCCTGGGATAGCCCAGGAACCAGGAAATTAGAGTGCAGAATATTTTCTGGACTGAAAGAGCTTAGGCTGGTCCCAGAGTTCTGAGTAGATTCAGACCATGATTGTGCAGCCTCATATTCCTTTTCTCAACCTGGTGGACACCTGTAAGCTTTGGGGCCAAAGTCCTCCCAAAGAAAAAAGAAAATCCTAGGAACATACTACCTCAGAGAATGAACCAACTGAGACAACTCATTTCTCTCCCAGGCAAAGCCCTCTGTGTTGGCCTGGGTAGGAGAGTCACAGAGGGATAGTCCTAAAAAGTGAGCGAGCCCTTCTCCATCTCCTAGGTTTATAATGCCCCCAAACCAAAGTGGACCCAGCTGTCTGGGAGGAAGTTACAGAATTGGGGTAAGTGTCTGGCATCGGTGAATCTGGGATGCGAGCCGGGCAGAGAGTGCATGTCCAGTAGTCCTCAAGACATGGAAGGAGGGGTCCCTGAGGGGTCAAGGGGTCCCAAGAGCTAAGACTACTCTGAGGGATCAGTTGATATCCTCAGAGGTGAGGGATTTCCTCTGAGTTGGGAGTTACCTCTCAGGGTCCAGTCGTCTGGAAAAGTCAGAGAATCTCTGAAGGGTCCACTGGTGATCTCCAAAGGGTCAGGGAATCACTCGGGCTCAGGGTGCTTCTAACCACTGGGATATCCCTCATGGAGGCTCCAGGGCTCCTTGGTTGGGTATCCTCAGGACCCCATTGCACTCTCCAGGTGGGCTCCCCCATCCCCGTGGGATGGTCCTTGAGCGGCTGCCCCCATGGCTTCAGCGCTACGTGGATAAGGTGTCTGATCTCAGCCTTTTTGGGGATCTCCCAGCTAACCATGTCCTCGTGAACCAGTATCTGCCTGGGGAGGGCATCATGGTAACCACATTCCCTCACCCCAGCTCCTACAGTCACCAGCTCCTCCCAGACCTCTGAACTATCAGGGGCCAGGGCATCGTGCCTACCCACCTCACATGGAGCGGCCACTTAACCCCATCCGGCATTCATCTCCCTGTCCCAGCTTGGGAGCCCCGCTTTGACCCAGAGGGTGGGGAGGTATACTCCTGCCCTGCCCAGCCCTGGTGCCCACTCTCCAGCCCCATGAGGACGGACCACTGTACTACCCGACTGTCAGCACCATCAGCCTGGGCTCCCATACCATACTGGATCTCTACAAACCACGGCAACCAGAGGACGATGATGCTACAGAACAGGTGGGCCCTGAGACATTGCCCCAAGCCCTTGGGGCACTCCAACATCCAGCGTCCTCCAGGATGGCCCAATCCCACCTGCCTTTGAGGTATTCCTGGCACCTAGACACCTTCCCCTTATGGGGTATATCCATTTCCTCCTGGACACCCAACTTGTCTTGCCATGATATCCACAGATACCCCAGTATTCCTACCTGCTGAGTGGATGCCCTTGGCACCCTACAAACCCCCTGACTCCATACCTTCAGTGTTCCAACAGCCCAAGGTCCACATACCCATTGAGGGTTCCCGAATATCCTAACAGATATTCTTGCTATCAGATACTGCAACATTATTGACTTATGGGTGCCTCAGGATCCTTCCAGATATCCTGACCCTGCCCACTACCCCAACCCTGATATCCTGCCACTCTGGTAATGTGATCTGCAGTGTGGGACACCCCCAGGTTCTCCTTACTCCTTGTCACATGACTTTGTGTAGGAACTGTCTCTGCACCATGCACTTCTGACACCCCAGTGTTCACAGATGCTTGCTCCTCAGTGTGTCCCTTTAGCCCTGTGTGGCTCTGGACACTCTGCATGCTTCCTTCTTCCGGTTGTCCCCTAATGTCCTTGGATACCCCACCCTCTCTGACCTCTTCCTCACTGTCCTCACCACCCAGTTCTGCCCAGGTGTTCTGGAACAACTGATCTCTGTCCCAGCTGCCACTCCCTGCTGACCTTGTTCCTGCCCTCTCCAGAGGGACTGCTGACCCCTGGCCCTTCCTTCCCCACCTAGTAGTCCTGGTCCAGAAATCCAGATGTTTCACTCCTCAGCCACCAATGTCTCTATCCCCAGGAGCACGCCTTCTTCTCGGCCTTTGCCCTGAGGACTTGCTGGTCCTTGTTCTCTGGTCCTCGGAGGCCTAGTGACCTTTCACCCACCCTGATCTCTGATACCCACTGACCATCAACCTGCCCTGCAGCCCCGGCCACCGCCCAGGCCCATCTCTTCGCTGCTGCTGGAGCCTTGCAGCCTGCTGGTGCTCCGTGACACCGCCTACACGCGCCTCCTGCATGGGATCGCAGCAGCCCACGTAGACGCACTGGACGCCAATTCGCTGCCGGCAAACGCAGCTGCCTGCCAGTCTGCGCAGCCCGGAGCCTGCCTGGTGCGCGGCACCCGTGTCTCACTGACCATCCGCCGCGTGCCCCGCGTGCTGCGCGCCGGTCTCCTTCTGGGCAAGTGACCAACGGGCTTCTGGGCTTCTGTCCCCTCTGGGCTGCTGTGACTGTGATCTTGTCACCTTGGAACCCTGGGATAGAGGCAGCTACCCTGGGTTATTTATTTTCCTAGAAACTGTGGGAAACACCCCATTTCAAATAAATAATATCTTTCCATCACACTGGTTTTAGATTTTTTGTTTGTTTGAGACAGGGTCTCACTATGTAGTTCATGCTGGTCTTGGATTCATTATATAGTCCAGGCTGGCCTCGAACTGTTGGAGATCCTCCAGCGTCAGCCTCCTGAGTGCTGGGATCACAGATGTGTGCCACTAAGCCCTGTTTACATGTTTTAATGTGAAGTGGGGGACAGATGCTTGGGCTCCTGAGCAAAGTGCTTGGGACCTTAATGGATAGGTGGGCCCTGGAGGTTAGATTTATGAGTCAGGGAGAGGGGCAGAGCAGGGCTCTTGATGAGGTGGGTGCGGCTTTCTATATGGAACCCTTGGGATGAGTTGGGTGAGGTTGGAAGGTTCAGCTACTGGCCTGCCAGGAAGGAGTTAAGTGATTGCTATCCCTCAGCAGGGCCTCAGGTTACCTGGGTGCAGGTTCCTCTAGGAAGGGGTGGAGCCAACTTTGCCTCTGGGACTCAGGCCTGGCCGAGGTCTGCTGAGGAGGTCTGCGGAACACTGTCGACTAGGGAAGGGGCTTTATTGGGTGTCCTCTCCCAACCTTCTGTCTCCAAGCCCCCAGCTATGTCCTTGTCCTCATCTCTGGCCCCTAGAGTCCCCTCAGAGCCCTTCAGCCATCCTCCCGGAGCCCCTAGGGAGCCGGATGTTGCCGGATGCACCATCCGCCCTGCACCGGGAGAGGAGACAATCAGGTGGGGACCGGGGCTTTCGAAGGTTGATCCCGAGAGGGTGGGGGTGGGGGCCATTTGAGGGTAGGAGGTGCCGTGGCTGTGATCACCTGGGGATGGGGCTAGGGCGGAGTAGAAAATAAGCCACAGTGGCTCGTGCAGGGGCCAGTCCATATCCTTTACCTCCAGGCCAGAGCAGGCCCAGGACTCCTTAGACCCTTCTGAGTACCTCCATGGTGGACTGAGAGGCACTGAGCCTGCTGCCAGCGCCCCCCGCACACCAGCACCCTCTTTTCATGAGCAGCCAGCTGGGAGCAAGCTCCACGAGGTGAGACTCTTGCTCCAGCCCTACCTCCTTTCAGTCCCTCAGAATTTGGCCTGTACCCCAGGGGTGAAGGGATGATTCTGGAAAGGTGTTGGGCATCAGTGGGGGTGAGGGACAACTGGAAAAAGTTTCTTTGTCAGTCTGTATAGAGTATTTTGGTATTTTAACTAAGAAAGAAGTACTTAGTGACTAGTCCTGGTGCAGCCTCATTCTTGTTGGGGGGACCCAGCCTCACCATACTTCCCTGTCCAGGCTCCCAGGCCCCACATAGCCAAATTTCTACAAGGCTTGAAAACCTATAGTCCTTGAATCAGATAGCCCCAGCCCCAAAGTGGGTGCCCTTAAGTAGGAGTGGCCTTCTTGCAGGCCAGAGGTGGATGGACTCTGCTGCACAGAAGCATCCAGAAGGCCATAGTCTGCAAAAGAGAGGTGGCAATGGGAGTGGGGATAGTGTCTTTTTTTAAAATTTTTTTTTTTATGACTTTAAGGGGGTAGTGTCTTGATTGACCCCCTGGCGCTGTTCTGGTCCCCTGTGTTTCTCAGCGCCCTGTCTCTGGCCACGAAGTGTTGGAAGCTGAGCATGACAGCCTGCAGCTCTGCCTGCTGGGGCTGGGCCTCCGACTGCAGGACCTGGAGCAGGGCCTCAGGCCCTGGACACTGGCTCAGAGCGGGATGGCCCAGTTGCAGGTGGGCAGTGAAGTGGGAAGTCGGCTTATTGCATGTTCTAGGTCTCTGCATAGGAAATGGAGTGGGTAACTCAGGTTGTGGGTCCGTGGTGTCCCTGGTGTGTGTGTGTGTGTGTGAGGGTGATGTCCAACGATGTGTCCCAGGCCCTGCAGGCAGAGCTACGAGGGGCAGCAGAACGTGTGGATGCACTGCTGGCATTTGGTGAGGGGTTGGCACAGCGAAGTGAGCCCAGGGCCTGGACATCTCTGGAGCAGATCCTGAGGGCCCTCAGAGGCCACCGAGATACCATCTTCCGACGGCTCTGGCAGCTGCAGGCCCAGCTGGTCAGCTATAACCTGGTATGGCCCGCCCTGGTGGTCCCCCGCCCACACACCAGTCCCCCAACTCCCATGACCTCTGCCTTCTGACCCAGGTGTTCGAGAAGGCCAACCCGTTGGACCAGGACTTGGTGGCTGAAGGGGATTCAGATGGGCCAGGACCTGGTGGAGTCTGGGGGTCCTGGGCACCCAGTAACCTCCCCACTCCTGCAGAGCTGGAGTGGGACCCAGCAGCGGATGTTGGGGACCTTGGGCCCTTGGGGCAAAAGACAGCCTGGGCTCCAGGGACTCCCTGTGAACTGTGTGGCCAGAGGGGCCCCCAGGGCAGGGGACAAGGCCTTGAGGTGAGAGCAGTTCCCTTTGAGGATCTTCCACTCAGTCAGGCAACCACAGGACACTTCTATGTGCTTTCTAGCAGGGTCCTTGGCACTAAAGGCCTTGGTAGTTCTGTCTCTCCTTCTTTCTTTCTCTCTCGATGTCTCCACTCCTCTCATCTGTCTCTGTCTCCATGGATTCCTGTATGGCACTTTCCCCACTCTCCATTTGTCTCTGTTTGCACCTTCAACCTCACTTCCTCTCATTCTGCCCCTTACCTTCTCAGCTATAGCCACATTTGAGGCCCTTTGACTAACACACCAATGGCACTGCCATCTCGGGGCCCCCAGGGGCACAGCCAGCTTATTTTACCTCATTTCATTCTCTCCTCATGTGTCACTTCACAGAGGCCTGCCCTGGCCTCCAATGATCGTCCTGCTAGATTTCCTGATTGACTTATCACAGCTTGACAGGACACAGCTATTAATTTTTGGCCTCTCTGGCTAGGACATAAACTCCACAGAGGCCAGGATTTTGCTTGTTTCCATCCCCACTGTGCCCTTAGACCTAGAACTGTGCCTGGCAGGTAATAGATACTCATTAAATATTTGTTGAGCAAATGCATAAATAATGTCTGTCCCCTCCTGGTTTCTTTGGCGCTGTCTCTTGTGAGATCTCTGTTCCTTAAGAAAGCCACCCCTATGACACTCCCCTACATGGCCCTTCCAAGACCATGGTACTCTTTGTCGCTAGTTCTCCAAGAACTGAATACTTCCCTCTCGCCACAGGACATGCTTGTGCCGGGGCCCAGCCACTGGGAACACTTAGGATGTCACCGAAGACGCTCTCTGCTCTGGAAGCCTCAGGTGAGCTGGTCCTCAGCCAGGTGTAGCACTTGAGGCCCTGGATGGCAACTGACAGAAAAAAAAAGACCAACACACAAAAAAGGGGACCCCCTCACATGTAACTGAGGATGCCAGCCCAGCTAAATTCAGGATCTCAAATGCTATCAGTATTTAGTCCCTCCTCTTGGGCTTTTCTTCCCCTAGGTGGCTTCCTTATCAGCACAGCTACACACTCACTTCCTGTTGGTTTGCCCATCCCAGGGGGAAGGGGTGCCCTTGGCCTATGGGCAGGAGCCAAGGTCCCAGCGTTGACCCTACCTCCCCAGCTTGGGTCATGGGCTGTGTACGTTGAACAAGTCAGGGCTCTCTGATTGGCCACGTCTGGGTCCTATGCCCGATTACGAAAGTAGGGGAAACGGGGGCTGGGGATTTAGCTCAGCGGCAAAAGCGCCTGCCTGGCAAGCGCAAGGTCGTGAGTTCGGTTCCCGGTACCGGAGAAAAAAACCAAAAAAAAAAAAAAAAAAAAAGAAAGTAGGGGAAACGGTTCAACGTTGCACGAACCTGCAGGTCTAAGAGTAGGGAGGTATGACTGCTGCCTCTTTCCAAATTACACCAGTGTTACCAAGAAAAGGGGGATCAGATTGCACAAACAGATTTGTAACACACTTGGAGATATCCTAAGTCCACGTGGGGTGCTGGGGATAGCAGAAATGCCAGGAAAGGAGAGATAAGACTAATTTTTAAGTAGTAAAGTCCATACTTCCATCTCTTCTGCTGTGGGCTGCCGTCTCCCCTCAGGACAAGAAGAGGCAAGCGTCTCCCAGTCTCCAGGACACGAAGCTGGAGGTTGATAATGGGTGAGATGCTTGGAGGCTGGGTTTGCAGGTGTGGGATACAGGGCTCATGGTGGCGGCCCGCTTGCATGTTTGACACTGCATTTCCTTTCTCAGGGACCCCACTCCTGCATCTAGGAGGCCCAGGACCTTTCTCCTTGTCCTCCTCTTCCTTGTCCTGGTGGGTGCCACGTTGCTCTTGCCCATTTCTGGGGGCCCCTGCTGCTGTCATGCCAGACTGGCCAGAACACCCTACCTGGTGCTCAGCTACGTCAATGGTCTCCCTCCAGTCTGAGTACCCAGCCCAGACATGAGTAATAAATGGTCACTGTCAAAGGACGCATGAGGATGTTGGGCGCTTGAGTTCCCAGAACCTGGGATACAGCCCCCATGTGCCTGGACATCCTCCTCTACAAATCCCTTGTCTTGAGCACACAGCACAGAACTGAACGAGCTCCTCGTGGGCTGGGGTCTCCAGACCCTGACAGAGATTCAAGTTGAGCTGATTTGGGAGGTGATATTAGGGGGAGTGGGGTGGGATGAGTTGGAGAAGGGAGAAAGCCACTGTCAGGTGAGTTAATGGACTGGTTGCTGCTCTGGGTACCTGGGGTGCCATCGAACTGGGGAGCTCCGGGAAACTGTGTGGAACACACTGGAAGTTGTTCCATCCAAGAGGTGAAGAAGTTGTGGTGCTTCTATATCAGCCCCCAGCTCACTGATGAGGACTTTTTCTGGAGGCTTGGATTAGCCAGCATTTCTAGCCTGTCCTTCCTGTAAAGGCCCCCGCTCAAAACAGGAGGCTGGATGCAGGTACAAGAAGGAGCGGGTGACATGGGTGAGCTTCCAACAGCACCTGCTCCACACCCTGACTTGTGTCCCACACAGGACCTCTGATCAGACATTCTATGATGGGCTTGGGGGCTGTCCAGAGGGGTTATCAATATCCCAGAACTGTGAGAGCCTCCTTCTTGGGGTTTTGACAACATTGGATGAATCGTCAAGTGTTTGATCCTGGAGTACAAGTCTCTTCAAAGCCTAAAGCGTGGGGAAAAAATGTGGGAACAGAATCAGAGTGAAGACCAGAGGCAGGAGCCCGTGCTGGTCCCCTGGATATACTGTTCACACAGATGCCCGCTGCTTGAATCCTCGCAGCTGTCCGATGATGTGGGCCCACTGAGGTAGGCTCCAAGAGAGGAAGTCATAGGCTGAGGCCACACATGGAGCAAGTGACTGAAGCCTTCACTGACTATAAGCTGATGAGTCTTTATTTTTGTGGGTAATTGAGAACCTCGGGATACCAGGTACAGCTAGATCAGGGACTCAAATGATGTCTCCATCTCTTAGGGTTTTTTTTGTTTTTGTTTTTGTTTTTGTTTTTGTTTTTGTTTTTGTTTTTGAGACAGGGTCTCGCTGCATAGTTCAAGCTGGCCTTGAACTTACTATGTAGCCCAAGCTGGCCTCCAACTCACAGCAATCCTCCCACCTTAGTCACCCAAGTGGTGGGATAACAGGTGTGTGCCACCATGCCGTCTTTCAGTTCTTTTATTTTGGCTTTGTTCTTATCCTGGTGATGGGCAGAGTGTCCCTAAAAACCTCCTGGCAGGGGCTTGGAGTGTGGCTCAGTGCTAAGTGCACTTTGCTAGTATGCAAAGGCCCTCAGTTTGAACTTGAGCACTGAAAACAAGAAAACAAAAAAAGCCCTAAGTCTGGCTCCTCTGGCATGGCCACAAGGCCCCCCTTCACTGGGCCCAGCCCCACCTGAACCATGCAGACTGCAAGTGGGTGTGGGGTGAGCCTCCAGAGAAAAGCAGAGAATTGTTACTTAAAGCAGGGGAAGGGATACTGAGGGCATAGGGGGAAGTAGCAGCTCTGGGAGAGATTCAAGATTTAGGGAAAAGTCAGAATGCAAACCAAATCTGTTTTAAATACCAAGCCATATCTCTATCCCCCAAGGGTGGGGCATGACCTCCCTGGCATGGCCAGCAAAAAGGGCTAGCAATATAGACCCAGTAAGGAAGCAAATCTGTCATTCATTCATTGAACAATTTAACAGATATTGACTGCTATGAACCAGGCCCTGGTCAAGAAGCAGAGATATGACAGGGAACAAGACAGATTAAAATCTTCGTCCTTGTAAAGCTGCATTTTACTGACAGAGACTGACAATAAATAAAGCAAGTAAAATATACAAGTATAGTAGGTCAGGTGGTGGTAAATGGTATGGAGAAAAAGCAGGCCAAGGAATGCGGGCACAATTCATCTTTATACATTTCAGTATTTTAGGGAGTATAATTCAGTGCCATTGAAGAAGGCATCCGTGAGATAATTCTGTCATTATAATTATGCCTTTATAGCAAACTAGTGAAGAACCATGGCACATGGATGCCCATGCAGTGCTGTTCCATAAAAATATAATGAGCTACACAGGCAATTTAAAATGTTTGAGTAGTCAGACTAAAGCACTAGAAATAGGCAATTAATTTTAATAACAGATTTTATTTTACCCAGTATGTCCAAAATACCACTTTAATATATAGTAAATATAAAAATAATGAGATTATTTTTACAATCCTTTTTTCTTACTAAGTCTTTGATATCTTATATATATTTCACACTTAAAAACACCTAGTTTGGGCACTAAATCTTCAGCAGATAAAATATGTTACTCTACCCAAACAATAAAGTTGCATGACAGAAAAAATATGTTATACTACTTGAGTTTTTAAAACTTAAATTAGCTTATATATTTAAGATTAAGCTTGGTATGGAGGTGCATGATTGTGATCCCAGCACCCAGGAGGCTGAGGCAGGAGGATCATTGCAAGTTTGAGACCAGCCTGGGCTACAAAGTGAGCTCAAAGCCAGTCTGAACTGCCTAGCAAGACCCTGTCTCAAAAAGTCAAACAAAAACAAAAACAAAAAAACAAAAAAAAAAAACAAATCCCCATATATACCAGATTCACCAATTGTTAACACTTTACCATTTGCTTTACCATTCAAACTCTCACTAATATATTTATATATTGTATATATTGGATTCCTTTGAGTAGGCTCTAGACCCAATGTCTCTTTACTCCTAAATACTTTAGTGTGTTTGTCTTAAAATCAAGGCAGGCTGGGTGTGTAGCTCGGGTACAGCGCTTATAAGTGTGAGTCCCTGACTTTGACTCCCAGCACTACAAACAGAACAAACCCAAACAAGGGCATTCTCTTCTACATTTAGAATGCAATTATAAAAATCAGGAAGTGTACAGGGTGTGGTGGTGCACGCCTGTAATCTCAACACTTGGGAGGCTGAGCCAGGAGGATTGTTATGAGTTTGAAGTCAGTTACACAGTGAGTTCAAGGCCAGCCTGAGCTACATAGTGAGACCCTGCCTCAAAAAACCAAACCAAACCAATCAAAAAATTTAACAACTCAATTCAATTTTTTGAGACAGGGTCTCAGGTTTGAGGTTGGCCTAAAACAGCAATCCTTCTGCCTCACCCTGCCAAGTGCTGGGATTACAGGCGTGCACCACTGCGTCTGGCAATCAATTCTATTATTAACTCACATTTCATATTCCACATTGCTCCCACTCCAATCCTAGGGTTAGGGATATAGCTCTATGGTAGAGCTCTTGTCTAGTATGTGCTAAGGTCGTGGATCCAATGATTCATAGCACCACACAAACAAAACAAAAAAACAGTTACTCCAATCCCTCTATGTTCTTTACAGCAATTTTTTTAGATCAAGAGATTCTTGGATTTGCTTTTGAGACTATTACAATAAATTCCTATATACTCCACATACCAGATTCACCACTGTTAACATTTTGCTATGTATTCCAGGCTGGCCTTTAATTTGCTAGGTACTCCAGGCTGCTCTCGAACATGCTGTCCTCCTGCCTTGGCCTCTGCAGTGCTGGGATTATAGGCATGTAACACACACTTGTCTGAGATGATTCTTCTTTTTTTTTAATTTTAAATTTTGAGACAGTGTATTGCTAAGTTGCCTAGGCTGCACTTGAACTTGTGATCCTCCTGCCTCAGCCTCCCACATGCTAGGATTACTGGCAACTCCATACTCACTTGAAATTCTTGTTCAACAGACAGGTACAAGGTGTTGAGAAATGTTGACCATGGGCCTCCACAGAGTGAAAGAACAGAGCAGCAGACAGTCACGGAGATCAGCCAAGTCCTGTACAATGTTCCCGTGCTTTACTCAGAAGCACAGGCTGAGCCCAGCCAGACTCGAGTGAGGTTTATCTGGGAGGCGATGCCAGGAGATACCAGTAGGGAGTGAGGACAGGAAGGCGGTCCAAAGTATTCATAGAGTGGTAACCACTGTGGGCAACTGGGGCCCAATGGCAAGCTCTGAGAAACCTTGTAGAACATGTGTTGTGATTGTCCCTCTAGACAAGAGCAGGACTGGAAAGGCACCCAGTAGCAGAAGGCAGGGCTCAGGGCAGGAAGCTGGCAGTCTCCTGAGAACCAGCTTCTGTGGCTGAAATTGAACTCAAGTGGGCAGGATGGCCACAGTGGGAGAGTGTCATCACTTGGTGCTACAATGTGTAGTTAATTCGCTGGATCATTGTAATAGCCACACTGAGGCATTATTACAATGCCCATTTCATTGATAAGCACACTGAGGCACAAAGAGGTTAAATTACATATAATCAGCAAATGCTCAACTGGGATTCCCAGCTGCCATTCCAGTTCTGTGGTCCACACCCCTAACCACCACTCACCCATACACCTCCCTCAAAGCAGGCATTCCCTCCCCAGTCCTCTCTACCTGGCAAACCCCATTCATCTGTAACACTGGAGCAAATGTCTCCACCCCTCCTGACTTGTTCACTGCCTGCAACACTGCCAGGAGCTCCCATCCTGGAGCTTATTAAGGCACAAGATCATGGAGCCAGAAGTGAGAGAACAGTGGGAGATGAAGTTGGGAGACAATGTGGCTGGATGCATAGAACGCTGTTAGCCAATTTCAGGACTTCAGCTTTAATTTGATGGAGGCAGGGCAGGATTAACAGGGCCACCTTGGGGCTGGGGTGTAGGTTAGTTGTAAAGAGCTTGCTTCGCATGTGCAAGAGCCTGAGTTCCCATGCCCAGCACCACAAACAATGACAACAAAACCTGGGTCACCTAGATGAAAAAGCAGAAGTAGCGGAGGTGGATGGTGAGGACTAACTAGAAACAAAGCTGGAAGAGACACCACATTCAAGCAGTGCCACAGCCTTGGGCTCTGGAGCCATCTAGGCCCCACCTGGGACCCTGCATCTCACTCCTTTGCCCCCTCCAGGCCTTTACCAAACTGCTTAGAAGCCTATTCTTTACCTTCCTGAGAACTCCTAGTTAAATTTCAAGGCTACTTTATAACTCCTTGCATACCTGGCTCCTTTATTGGGATTAGGGCATTGACTTGTGTTTTTCTTCTGTCTGTCCTTCCTTCAGTCCAAGGTCTAGGCTTCTTTCCTCCTCCAAACTGTTTCTTCAAGGATTTATTTGTTTCTCATGTACTTTACTAACAAGGGTGCAAATAAAGCTCAGGGTTGCAAAAGGTGGTACCCTGGCAATGACCAGGGAAGGTTCATATGGGGATGTGGAAAAGGTATGAGTATAGTCTAAGGGTCCCTTCTCCCTGCCCCCAAACCCCAGGGCCTTACTGACAAAACTCCCAGCTTGTAGCTGAGGCTGAAATTCCTCAGGTTTGAGGAAGGCGGAGAGTCTGAGATCCCTTACTACTGCCTCAGGGGCCACCAGCTCCACCATTACACCTCCTACTTCATTTCTCTCCAACAAGTGGGGTCTCTTTGCATTGAAGCTAGGGTGGGGTCTTCTCCACTGATCTGCCCAAGGAAGGGCTCCAGAGGGAAAAAGACAGCTCCCTACATCCATCACTTCTCAGAGGGCCACTTCTCAGTATGTGTGTCTTCAAAAATCCTCAAATACATAAAATCTTTAAGACCATCAATAGGGAAATAAGCATGGCCCCAATTTTATTCCCTTTGTTCGATAATCTGGAGGGATAAGGCGCTCAGGAGTCAGGGCTGTCCCTTATGGTCATGAAGTAGGGAGTCTTCAGTTGATCAGCTGGGGTGACAGGCTCCTAATCCCCTCCTCATGGTCCTGACTTGTGAAAAAGGGTGGAGGGGAGTTTCCAATGGGGATTCCAGGCCTCTTACTATTCATCAAGTCTGCTCTTCTCAGTTAAATACAGCAAGAAACAGTCCGTTTGATGATCCGGGGTGGGTGTGTTCTCAGAGGTCAAGAGAAGGGTCTCAGTCCCGCTTGGGCCAAGGTGGAGGGGAGGTCTGAGCTCCTCATGCCTTTGGGTAAGTAGACCTCCGCATGACACTGTCCAGCCTGCTGGCCTCCCAGGCTGCTCTAAGCCCTCCTGGTGGAGGAAGGGTGGAGTCTGACCTGTCACCGTACACAGGAAAGGTCTCTCGCTGTCCACCACTGGGCTCTCCATCCCCACAGCGTGTGGAGCAAGTCTCTCGAGACCTCACACTTTCCATCGGACGAGGTCCCAGTCCCCCCAAACTGTCAGGGACCTTCTGGGTCACCAAGTGACCTCTTCTGCCTGTCACCGTCCACCGAGTCGGGTCTCCGGTGTCCCCATGCCGTTGTGAGGGTTCCCTGGACTATCGCAATCATCAAGCGGGGTCCCCGGGGCCGCCCCGCCTCCGGGCTCCTCGGTCGGGCCCCGCGAACGCACGAAGGCACCCATGGCTGTGGCGTGGCCGGAACGCAGCAGCTGGAGTTGCCGCCGCCCTCGGCGGTACAGATACTCGATGCGCAGAACGTCGGAGCGCGGGAGGCTGGCGTGCTGGCGGAACTCGGCTCGCACCCGCGCTTCGGCGCCCGGCTTCCCGCGCCCGGCGCGCAGCAGCTCGCGGTACAGGCTCAGAATTTGCCGCTGCAGACGGCTGGGCCGGCTCATGGCAGCAGCTGGGCCGCGGGCAGGCGCCCCAAACGTCCCGCGGGCAGCTGCACCTCCGCGTAGTTGAAAGAAGCCAAAATGCAACAGCCACTTCCGCCCCGCGCGTTTCAAAACCCCGCCTCTCGCTATCCAACGTCGCCACTTCCTATTGGCTGTCGCTGAATCGCGAAGGTAGGGGTGAAGGGGCGGAGTCATTGTGACAGTCCACCAAAAGGGTGATCTGTGTCCTTGAGCTGTCTGCAGTCCTGGAAGACGCAGGACGCTGGGACCTGAGTGGTGCAGGGGGTTGGGGAGTGGTGCCGTTCGGGATCTTAGGCGTTCAGTTGGACGAACGAGACTGGCAAAGTTGACCTAACTTCTTGAGAGGAGAAAGCTAGGAGTTCGGATTCTAGGTCCCCAAAGATGCGGGACCAATGGGAGAGAGAAGACAGGCACTTTTTGAGGGGGAACTGGGGAGTGAACCCAGGGCCTTAACACTGAACTAATTACTCGCCTTTTTTTTTTTTTTTTTAAATTTTTTTATTTGAGAAGGCAGAGTTGCTCAGTTGCCCAGGTCAGTCTCGAATTTGTGATCCTCTTGCCTCAGCCTCCCCAAGTGCTGGTCTTACAGGCACGGGACACTACCCACCAGCTATTGTTTATTTTATTTTCTTTTTGTCCCGGGAATCGAACTCAGGACCTGTGCTTGCCAGGCAGGTGCTATGCCGCTTAGTTACATCCCCAGCCCTTGTTTTGTTTTTTAAGGAGACAAGATCTTGCTGTGTTGCCCAGGCTGGCCTTGAACTATGAACCTCCTGCTTCAGCCTCCTGAGTGCTAGAACTACAGGCACATACCACAGTGCCCAGTTACAAGCGTCTTTTTATCAGTTTATTAAAAACATCTGGGGAAGCTGGGTGCATTTCCCCCAGGTCTGTGTGGAGGGTGCCAGCCCTGGGGACACAGAGGGAGGGGGTCATAGAGTGAAATGGTGGGTAATGGCCAGTTGGACATGCTTCTCTGTGTTACAGGGAAGACAAGCAGAGTGAGGGTAAAGGTACTAAGCCCCCAAAGGTGTGTGTGGCTCAAGGATTTGGATTGGCTGCACCCTGTGTGGGCAGTGGGAGAGTCCTTACCAGCTGTGAAAATTCGGAGTCCCTTATGCGTCCTGAGCATGTCCTGCTTCAAATCATCTCCACAAGTTCGCAGTAGTCTCTGTAGGCTGCCTGGAGATGTCCTAGTACTGCCCAAGAGGGCCACAGGGATATGGCTCTCTGGGGTCCTATTAGTGCCTGGAGCAAAGAGGACTGATGGATAACTCCAAAGCCCTCTGCCCAGCGTGAAACTACATCTCAACACACATGGGTGGGCAGCAGCACCGGGCATTTGTTCTCTGAGAGGAGGAGAGGCAGGTCTTGGGGGGGGGTGTTGGGGGTTGGGATTGGAGTAGGGGAGTCAAGAAAGGCTGGGGAAGCTGAGGCATGAGGCTTGCCTGAGTTCGAGGCCAGCCTGGGCTACATAGTAAGATTCTGTTTTTTTTTTTTAAAAAAAAAAGCTAAGGGGAATCACTGTGAATCCTGATTGGTGTGTCTCTATCAAATGAAATACATGCACAGGTCTCTGCTAGAGGAATAAGGTCTTAATAATGAATGATAGAACATTTGTAACTGTGATGGGTGGGTTCATGAGATTGCATAGCATTTCTTTTTGGGATGCTTGAAATTTTCCATAATAAACACTTTTTTTTTGTACTGGGAATCAAACTCAGGACCTAGTGCTTGCCAGGCAGGTGTTTGTGCCACTGAGCTGTATCCCTGGCCAACACTTTCTTAAAAGGAAGAGAAGGGTGTTGGGTCTGTTGCATCTCTCTCATCTAGGCCTCATAATCTATATAGACTTTTTTTTTGGTACTGGGCCTCAAACTCATGACCTTGCGCTTGCCAGGCAGGTGCTTATTCCACTGAGCTATGTCTCCAGCCCAAGACTGTCTTTTTTTTTTTGTCTTTTTGAGGTAGGGTCTCACTATGCAGTCCAGGCTGGCCTTGAACTCATTTTGTAGCCCAGGCTGGTCTCCAACTCACAACAATCCTCCTGCCTCAGTCTCCCCAGTGCTGGGATTACAGGCGTGTGTCCCACGCCCAGCTTCATAATCTAATAATTGTTTGCCGAGAACTTACTATGTGCCAGGTACAATTCCACATGTTTTATTATTTATTTTATAAGAGTATGTGACATGGTATGTTAATATAAGATATACAGTATAGTGGGATACAGCTGATATTTTAAACTGCTATCTAACTTATTTTATGCAATGCATTTATATTTAAGTAGTGATTATTTTAAGGCTCACTTTAAAGGTGAGTCACTCTCAGTTCTAAGCAGTCTTAAGATTCTGATATATGACCAGTATTGGCAACTCCAGCAATAATACCGAGGGGTGATCAGACCCTTGGATACCTGTACGGGGGGGTTGGGGGATAAAGAAGACGAAGAGATAAATTTCAGGGTACAAGGGAGACCGGGAGGAGTTCCCTTCTAGTGGACTGGCTTGGCTACCTGCGCAGCTGGCCCACCTTTATTAGCCAGCAAAAGCGCAGGGGAGGGGTAGCGTACTTTCATGGAACAGCAACGATAGAGAATGGGTAGATAAGGAATAAGTTAATGAACCAGATTTTCTCTATACCCAGATGCCTATATTTTGATAGCTGTCCTCAGCAGATGTTACCTTGCTTCAGGAATACTAGGTTATCAGCATTCCACCCATAGCTAGCAGGCATGGAGGCCTTCCCTGTACCTCCTTGTTCAATCTGAGTTACATATCCTAGTCGCCAACACGGCAATCTGGTAGACATGCAGTGGCAGATGTATTTGTTCTTCTGACTTGTTCCTCTTGGAATAGCTGTCTCTTCCATTCCCAGGGTTCATGCTGGGGTTTAAACATCCATGTTTTTTCTATCAAGTAGCCTTTAACCTCTAAGACAACTACATTAATCAGCCTGAGGGTCTTATTTACTTTCCAGTGAACATAAAGGGCTACAAAACCTCAAAGGGCACACTCTTCCCCCTGATGAGGGTCCATTGTAGTTTTCTGATAACGGCCTCTACGTTTGCCTTTGGGAATCTAGCCCCACTCTCAGGCTGTGGGGTTTCCTAGGTATATACCTACCCTCTGGCTCCAGCTTTGGCATGTGCTACAGACCTGGCCAATCAGAGATAAACTGGAGTATCCTATCTCCTGGTGCCTGTGATTGGCCTAGGGATGAACAAATGCCCTCCACTGGGACAGTGAGTATCAGCTCTGAGACTTCCGCTAAAACTCTTGAGAAAAAAGTACTGCTTTCACTTTGAGGTGGCTCAACTGTACATGGTAAACACAGAACAGTGGGAGGCTCCACCACAAACAGGTGCTTTGAGAATGAGGCTGTCTTCAAATAGCCGCTCTCTGCTTCTTCCCTAGAAGTATAATTTTTAGCTGCACACATGGCTGCATAGCTAAAGATACACCTTCCAGCCCCCTTTGTAGCCAGATGGCATCTTTTCCAGAAAGTTTTGGCTTTCGGCAAGTACGTGGAAGTGATGTGTGCCACTCTTGGGTTGTGCCTTTAAAGGAAGGAGGGAGGCCTGACCACCTTCTCCTCCCTTTCCTCTCTCCAGCTTACTTGAATGTAGATATGTTGGGAAGCAAATGCAGGCTATGCAACCTGGCGAGCAACGCGATCAAAGGAGCCTATGTCAGAGGAACCAAACTGGTTATACTGGGACTGTTCAAGAGGCAGAAATAAACTTCTGCCAAGTGTGAGCCGTGCAAAGTTTGAGCCTCTGTTAACGGCATTTGGACCAAGAGCCTACCTAATATAGAAGGTAACACAGTGCAAGGAAAAAGCAAGGATGAAGAATGAACAGAAGCTCAGTCCCAGAGCCATCATTTGAATTCCTGAATCCAGTCATGTCCGAAGGTCTCTATTGTACAAGTAAGTAAAATTAAATTCCATGTGTTTTGAATAAATTCATTCTGTATTTAAAACAGTTGGCTTCATTTTCTTTTGTTTACTACTGATAGTGCTTAATGATACTGTCCTGATTCAGGGAATCTCTCATGACGTGGAATGTGAGACTTCCCTCCCATCGTAGGAGACACCTCTCACCAGGGTGTAGCTTCATTGTGGAAGCAGCCACAGTGGTCTGAGACACAGTCTGTGTCATCAGAAATGAGATTAGGGTCACGTGCACAATGAGTAGGGTTGGCAGGCAGAGCATGGTCTCATCACAAGCTCGTGCATAGGTGCTGTAGTGGTACTGGAGTGGGCAGGTCTGGTGTGCTAGTGACGCTGAGGTGAGGAGTCAGTGCTGTAGGCAGATGGCAAAGGGAAGTGCTCAGATTTCCCTTTCCAGCTCAGTGTGGTGCTATAAGCCTATAATCCCAGCACTCTGGGAGGCTGAGGCAGGAGGATCACAGGTTTGAACCCAGCCTGGGCAACTTAGTGATTTAATGAATCCCTACTCAAAAAAATTAAAGGCTGGGGATGGAGCTCAGTGTGAAGGCCCTGAGTTCAATCTGCAGTGCTCTCCCTAAAATCCCATTCCCTTTCCAATCCCATTGCATTTTGCCCTCAGTCAGGCTAGCTTTCCTTGATATTTTCCCATTTCTCTATTTTTCCAGTTCCCTATCTTGAATTATCATCCTGTATACTCTCCTCAGTCTGCCCTGGTCCGGTCAGGGGAGGAACTTCTTCCTACCAACTCATAACCTGTCCTGGATGCATCCCAGACCCAGCCAGGACACTCACCATGAAGTTTTGGGCCCTTCTGACAGGTTGTAAGGGCATTATAGAGGCGAAGGTGCTGTAGCATGACATATATCCTGTAGCTGTGTCCTAAGAATGGGCTTGGGACTGGTGTGACCCAGGCAGTGGCCAAAGGGGCTGTCTGGGCACCTGCAGGTGTCTATATAGTTTGGGAGCCTGGAAGTTCTGGACAGCTTTCATGGAGGCAGCTGATGCTAAAGCCATGGGCAGACTGGGATGGTAGGCAGGGAGGAGGTAGTGAACAGGGGCTTGGGTCAGGACCTGGTGTCCAGAGGCAGGTCAGGTGGGCCAGTTTTCCCACCAAAGGGGTCACAGAGCCCTGC